AGACAGATAGATAGATAGATAGATAAATAGATAGATAGATAGAGTAGTAAGAGTAGATAGATAGATAGATAGAAAGATAGAGAGATAGATAGATAGATGGATGGATGAATAGATAGATAGATAGAGAGATAGACTGAGATAGAGAGAGATAGAGAGATAGAGAGATAGAGAGATAGATAGATAGAAAGATAGATCGATCGATCGATCGATAGATAGAGAGATAGAGAGTGATAGAGACAGACGAGATAGAGAGTGATAGAGACAGACGAGATAGAGAGATAGAAAGAAAGAAAGAAAGATAGATAGATAGATAGAGATAGATAGATAGAGATAGCTAGAGATAGATAGATAGATAGATAGATAGATAGATAGATAGATATATAGATAAATAGATAGATAGATAGATAGATTTAGATAGATAGATAGATAGTTAGATAGATAGATAGATAGATAATGATGATAGATATACAGATAGATGTAATAGATAGACAGAGAGAGATAGATAGATAGATAGATAGATTTAGATTTAGATAGATAGATAGATAGATAAATAGATAGATAGATAGATAGATTTAGATAGATAGATAGATAGATACATAGATAGTTAGATAGATAGATAGATAGATAGATAATGATGATAGATATACAGATAGATGTAATAGATAGAGAGACATATAGATAGAGAAAGAATAGATAGATTTGAGTTAGAGATTTAGATTTAGATAGAGACAGTGACAGAAACATATGGTAATGTTATTTTAACGGGGTTTTTGGGCTGACTGCTGATTTAATTTAGATTCAATTAGATTTTCTCACCTTTTGATTCTAAAGGGAACAGGATTTATAGTTTAAATGTTTGCCCGAAATAAATCCACAATTGCTATTAGATGGTATTTGGAACACTGAGATCTCGCACTGTGGTGTGGTGATGATTCAGCGACTGCTCGCTGGTGGCATCGATTTGCCTTTGACAGCTGCGGCCCACGTGATCCACCTTCACTGGTGCTACAACCCAGCGATAGATGCCCAGGCATGACACGGTGGCACAGCTTTGGCCACAGAGCGTGGGCCAAACTGGTCTACGAGATCGGCTCTGGCAATTTTGCCATATCTTCAGCACGTAGAAGGCGTTCGCAAACCTACTTCGGCGATGATCGCATGTCAGATCGAATCGAATCCGGGGTAATCAAATCAGAATCAGATCAATCAGCCTCAATCAGATCAAATTCAAAATTAATTATTCAGTCTTAGTCGTTTTAGTCTTTAACTTAGTTAACTTAGTTAACATAATGGTCCTGCATCATGAGTCATGAGGCATCGTGAATCATGAATCAGGGTTCAGGATTCATTCTGGACTCACAATGTGAACAAATATATTCATAAACTGAACACAATAGACGATAGTAATAGCCCCAACCTAGAGGACCTACGGACCCATTGTCCAATTTTTTGACAGTTGGATCAAAAAATCATTGATAGTGTTAATCAAACCAAAACTAAAACCCGGCCCGACCAGCCCGACCAACCCGATCTGTAAATGTAGGAATTTTAAGGCATGTGTACTGTGTTAGGATTAGTGTTTTCATTGGCCCTGGCCTGGCCCATTGGCATTGCCAATTTGCCAACCTGCCAAACAAGTCATGGAATTTAGAACTTGATAGCCAATTACTATTCAATTGGTAATTCTAATCAATGTTCAATCTATTTTAGTTCATTACAGTTTCAAATTTCAAAGTCAAAGAACAGGGACAAATCAGACTAACCATACCATCCAGATGAGTTTGGTTCAAATACGGATACGATTCTAATATAGTTACTAGTAATCAGTTAAGTCATGGAGGGGGCATGATTGCAAGTTAGCTCCAGGGGCCAGGGGCCTACTAGTAATAATCTTAATCTATCTTGACTTTAATGATTCATTAATGGGGCCCGGCCGGGCCCTATCGACTGGATTGTTGATAACCATTTCAAAATATTATAATTTAGGAAAAGGGAATTTATGGAATTACGAAATTGGGAATCAACATCATACATCGAAATAACTTCAATAAGTAATCCCACAATCTAGTTCTGGTCCTATCCAGCCACGAAAATCTACATAGATGGATCCTGATATTATTTTAATTAGATATTGTAACCCCGGAGTAACCCCGTAACAACGACTCATCATCAGGACACCATCTATGTAGACTGCTTGGTGAAATTGCTCCGCCAGTGAGCAAAGCAGGCCGATGCGATTGAAGTGATATCTGATGAAGATGAAGTTGAAGCTCCGAATGCTTCAAGGACTTTGTCAGGTATTGCCACAGACGCCGTGCCGTGATGGATCAGTGGGCCCAATGGGATGTTGTATTGCTAATAAAATATGATTGTGATTCCCAAACAAATTCAAAACAATGTTTATATGTTGTCACTGGGCCGACTCTGAATCGTGGATTGGGATTGGGCGTGTGGGTATTTGGGTTTGGGTTTGTGGTCGGTAATACAAACTAAGAGTAGTTACCTTAGAGTAGTTCGTAAAGTAGTTCGTAATCCATTGTCCGTCAACAGCCCTGTTGAGCAGTTACCAGTTGAAACTAGTACGAATCCGGTTTCTTTTCGTTGTCCCATACCCATGTGACGTATGTTTCTATGTTTAATGTGTTTGTTTTCAGGCTGCAACTTACAAATTACAAAGTATCGGCTATATCTTGTATTTTAAATGGTTTTGGAGTTATGGTATCCTGACATTTATGTGAATAATATTTCACGTATTTTGACCTTGATATATTCAATTCTCAATTCAAATTCCCATGGCACAATGACAATTCAAATAATACCCAAGACCACGTTTATCCACTGTCATGTGAAAAATTGATGTTTATTTGAAATTTATTACAAGTATAATTATGAGGTTAGGCTGGAGCCTTTCATTGGAAAATGAAAATCATTTTCCAAAAATAAATTGTGTCTACAGGGGCATATGTCACTGGCTAGGGTAGCCTCTTAAAACTATAACATTGCAACAATCATCATTGAACCAAATCATCATCATACTACAATTACAAACAAACAAACCTTACAAAACAACTGTTTTGTCATTATTTGTATTTGTTCATCTTATTATCTTAAGTGACGTTCAGTGTCATGCACCCCAATAAGATCACAAACAATTGCTGGCTTCCCCCAAACGGAAAGACCTGGTTGAACATATACTTTCTATATGTTTTTTTGGTTTTCAAACACCAACCCATGATTGTTTTCAATCAGTGTACCCCACTTTCAGTATGGGATCTACTGATCCATCCCATATGCATTCAGAGTAGACGCAATGGAATTAAGAAGGGAACCAAGCGCTATGGAGCAAACACATATAGATATGCAGATAATATAAAAGTGTATATATATAAAATTTATATTTATAATATATTTAGATATATACATATTATATCATATTTTAATATTTATATACTTACATATATATATATATATGTATATTTGTACATTTGTATATATATATACATATATATATATGTATATATATATAGGTAAATGTATATTTATATATATATACAGGTGTATATATATTTTTATATGTATACATACATGTATCTATACATATATATATATGTAGTAAATAGGAAGTAGATACATATCACCTGACAGCACATGTACACATATAAATACATATATTCTATTTTCCTAAATGCATATAATTATGTGTCAAACGTGGCGACCAGGACCCGAGTGAAGGCTTTCGAGCTGGGAAGGCTTCTGGAAAGCCTGCTGATCGCTAGGCTGCTCAAAGCGGAGGACAGCTTGTCGGAGGTCTTGGTTCGGAGTATGTCCTTTTTGTTGGGCCCCGGTGAAGCTACGTAACTTGCTGATGACAATTCATGTACATTTTTGTTTTGTTATGTGTCATCTGATGGTGGTAATGAAAACTGAAAACAACTGACTACACTATGTGGTGGATATTACACTGGAACAGTTGGTGACTTTTGTAGTGCCCCCCGATTCCAAGCTGTTCATGATTAGTCTGAACCGTTTCCTGTACTGATATCTTGGTAAGTCCTTTAAGTATGGATCATTTCAGTCCCAAACAAATCCTCATGAGTTTTCCTCATACGATCGACGAACAAGGGTCAATGGGTCAAGGGTCAGGGTCAGGATAATCACCTTATAGAAAGTTTAATATTTTCTCGCTGCCACTCAATGATGGTAACCCTAATGATCGAATTGATCTGATGTTAGTCAGTCAGACATCATTTATGCCAATTCCAATGCCCCAGGCCCCAGGCCCCAATGGCCAATGGCAATGGGAATTGGGAATCAGTCCAACTCAACAGGAAATGGGAAATTATTCACATTTTTCAATTTACAATGACAAATGACCCACCCAATGATCGTAAATAACGTAAATAGTATTTTTTTAAAGTAATAGCGGGTCATTGCCATTGCAAATTGTAAAATGTAAATCACTCTAAGCTGTTAAAAAAACATAAGTAAGAACTTATATAGTTGGTAAGTAGTAAGATCAAATAATTTACTACTGACTTACAAATCGTTCAAGTTCAAGCGTTGCATATTGGGTGTGGTTGGTCCTGGCTTGGTCCGTTTGATGATTACATGTGATTAGCATCCTTTGTTTTATTTTTTAATGATTTGATGATGATGATGATATGTATTATATGTAAAATATTTTATATCATGATATGCTATGAGTATATGTAATCATGATTCATACTCATAATCTTATGATTATGATTACAGTCAATTATCAGATAATAATCCCAGACATCACATACATAATGATATAGCCATAGCCCATCATAGCTATATATATATAACCGATGCTCTTTTTGTTGTTTTAAACAGTTCGTAGCACATAATTTAATATTTGGCGGTGTTTTGACCAAACGTCATCCAACTACTGTAGGCGAATCTACAAACAGATCCAAGACAAGAACGCTGGTGTGCCGCACAAAACACAACTGAGTCGGTGCAGGGTGAAACTTGATATGATGCTCATGCATCTGCGACAAAGTGAATTTGGCAGCAGCGGTCTTCCATGCTTCATCTATTTATCGTCAGACGCATCCCCACAAGGATCCTTAGAGTTCTACATTACTTTGGAAGACAAGGTATCTAGATCCAGTGCTGCCTTATTGGTCGAAGCAACAGCAAATGAGAGAGCTCAATGGGTCAAAGCAGGTCATTTGAGAACTACATGCTTACCTGTGGCTATATTGGGTAGCGGAAAATCAAATGCAGCTGCAAAATTTGAAGCTCTGACCCATTCAGTAATCCTAGACTCAATGTCTGGGGGGGATCCACAAAAGGTTTCTGCTTATGGAAACTCAGTTATCTCTTTTTGTTCGGATTTCGGAACAGAGGCACATATATCCAACATGCCCTCGGTATCAATACAAAAGATTCTGGAGAACAATGTTTCTCAGAGCGACGGCCTATTGAGTTGCAGGCGACAGGTTTGCGAACAGCGGTTTGGGCCGATTGAACAGGCCGACGACTCCATCATCGCTGATTGTTGCATCTTGGAAGCCCAGGATATGATCGTTCAGGATCTGCCAGCAGCTGGAGTTGAACGTGACTCCTTCTTTGGACTTCAGTCATCGTTGATGATTCCAGGTGCTAAACATTTGATGGACAATGTACAAAAGGACGTCTTGGGGGCTCTTCAACACTTCAGTGTGTTCCAAGATGCTAGGCAGAATCAGCGTAATGTAGTGTCTCAATCAGCTATGGTCAATGTTGATGGTGACCACTGTCACTAGATATAATCGGAATGTAACACGAACCTTACGTTGAACGGTAAAGCAACCCCACTGCTGCCAGAAAGTGGCACCCTGCTCAGGAATCATTGACCGCTGTCGTTTCCATGCTTTGCTTGAGGACCTACCGTGACCGACTGATTGATCCTTGGTTTGGATCCGACGTGTCCTTTACCTATGTGTTATCATGTTTTTGGGGAGACGGCAGGCAATTCATGGCTTGCGGCACAATTGAACAAATAGCAACCATGTTGTTTAGTTTTATTCTTTATTTCCTGGACTCATTCCAACATTCCATTTCAGATTTTAGATTCAATTTCAAATTCAGGCTTCAAATAGTTTACCATAGTTTACCTAGTGATGCTGCATCATGGACCAGGTCATGTAAATCTTCATGTAATGCATATCAAAAAGGACACTGTTGATCACGGATGCTCGACATGTGATATGACATGCCAAGTCAATGAATCCAGCATAATCCAGTAGTAGTGGGCAAAATAGATCGACACATAACTACCAAACAACGACAAATAATTGTTTTGAGTTATGCGTATCATCTAATCTCATCTCGGTTTTCTGTTTGACTGAACATTTAATTTCAATGATGTAATCCAATATAAAAACAAATCCCAGTTGACACTGAAGCCATGACATTCATTAATGCCTCTTTCGTGATTAAATTGGGATGGCATAATTAATTAAGAATGTATTATATATATATATATATATATATTATATAATTTTATATTATATATATAATAATAATGATAATAATAATTAATAATAGATAATATATATATATAATAAATATATAATATATAAATAATATATATATATATATATTATTATCGAGTTATCGAAATCCAAATCACTATATAATATATCAGTCAGCAAGGGGCTGCCTTCCTTCAGACATCCAGGACAAATGTTACACAAGTCCTGGTCCATTCTCTCAATACCGAAAACTGATGGGACGATGGGAGGGAGGTCAGCTGAAAACTTGGCGCTGGAGTTCGCTCATTCAAGTTCTCCGTGCATTACTCATGCGTGAACAAGCCCTGAAATCTGGATGGGACAAAGACAAGTTCGGGGATATTGGCACCACAAGCATCATCGATGAAGCTATAGCATCTGAACTGTTTTGGAAATATGCACATTTCTTGAACAATGTTTCTGGGACCATTGAACTGGGGTCTAGCTACTGCGAAGGTTGTGAATGCCATGAGCATGAAGGCCTCAAACACAATTCGTTCCAAGTGCGGAGAAACGAGATTGTAAAACGGTTGCGGTCTGCAATCAATGTTGATAACGCGGACGATCCCTTACCTTATCCGCCATCATGTCCTTTGAAAAACCGAAGATCAGCTGAGCTTGCTTCGGGAGCCTTTAACCGGTTCATCGAGGATACATTGACTGTAACAAAGGATATGCTACATGACTTCCGGGGATCTTTGCGGGATGCAGAATGGCAAATTATCTTGTCTGATTGGATGTCAGCCCGTGTGTCTTGAACAACAACAAGAAGTATACTTTACATTTTTTGTTTTGAGACCAACGATTTATGCTTAAATTATGCTTACTTCATTAGCTTTCTGCTTAGATTGATGATAGTTATTGATTGTGTGTGTGGCTGAGGCTGCCTGCCAACACTACCGGGTTTGTTCAGACAGTAGACAGTAGTCAGTAGACAGACCATTTTTTCATTGAACACTAATGACTCGTCATGATCATGTATCCTAACATCATAGTTATCAGTCGATCAGCCTGACAACATGCCCCATTATCAGTCTACTATCCTATCTGTCTATCAGTACCAGTGGGTCACTTCGATAACAATGGTTGTTTCAGTGGCCTCAAGTCATTTTGGTATCTAAGGATCTCATAGCTTCCAACTTGGTTTTGAAAACATCATTTTGGAACGTGCTTCCATGGCGGTTGTGTGGTTTGGGATGCAACGACAGTGAACAAGCACGAGCGTGCGGTCGGGCTTGTGTTAAACTGTGGTGCAAAATGTCTGGCACACGTGGCACACACCACCACCCCCTGACAAGGAGGTTTCTTGACCCAGTTCCTTGGATGGATGATTTGGATGGAATTGGAGCGAAATGGAATCTGAATTGACAGGATTCCCAATCAGATCACCCATACCCCGACGGTGAACATATTTTGTATGTTGCATTCAATGGCTTCAATGTGTTGTTGATAAGGTTGACTTTTCACAGCTATCACAGTTGATACACTTATATCATGTTGTTTGAGATAGTGCTAAAGGGAATAATTTTGTTCAAATCGAACAAACTAAACTACTTACTACTTATAGCTTATCCTTACGAAAATAATGTTATCATTCAAATTTGGGGAATGATAACTGATGACTGATGAATCAACCTACAACCTTTTCTCTATATGTGACTTTCAGGAGTTTTCTGGACCTGGACCGGCTCTACGGTTTGATTTGGATGATTATTTGGAAGGGACCCCAATGCGGGAATTGCCGCGTCTTCGGGAATGGGTTGGTGGTCTCAAGCTGATCAGACTGGCCGAGAGGGAAACCGAGGACTGAATCATCGCAAATCGCAGAGTCGCAAAAGACGTTCAACCTACCTAGAACTTATCAACCTACCCTTGATGTTGTTTCCACCGAAATCCAATTGACAAAACAGTTTGTAGTGAAATTACCACTACCCCAGTCTATTGTTTCAAGCACAGCAAATTGCATTACAATCTCCTCTGCATTTTGTTTGCAATATTCATGTGGGGAAACTTAGGCAATGTTACCTTACCGGGACCCTGGCAGCCCTGGCAGGGCCAACACCGGACTATAACGCAGGTTTTCAACAGTGCTCCTTCAGCGTCTGAAAGTTTTGTATCAACAGAACTGCGGCAGCGCCTGATCCCATTGTATCTTTCCACTCCCCAGGACATGGGTATGATCGGGATATGCGTCCAGTATCATCGAGTATATGATGTTTGTGAGGGGGCAGATTCCAGAGTGTTCTTTGAATGATTCCTATCTCATGACACAAGTGTTTAATCCCAGAAATGGTAATTCTCCTATGTCATGATCAGCAGCAGGAAGCAGAAGTCAGAAGAAGTGAGAAGTTGCCAAGTTACCTTACATACATTTTTTGGTTTTATTGATGATCATCAGCAATTTCATTCATTGATTCATTCATTCATTATCCATGTCATCCATTGTTTGTTTGGGCAACATATCTGGTTTCTAGGTCTAGATCTTCAGGTTCAGGTCCTCATGGTGTAATCGTGGGATAATAAATCCACATATCTACCACAACACCTTTCTCTGACTGACAAGTCCCTTGTTGAATCAAACTAATATTGTTTGGTGGGTGACAGTTGGTGTTTCTAATATTAAACTTGAAATCCACCAAGGTTCTTGAATAATTATTCTGTATTACAACTACGACGTGACGACTGTAGTCGAGTCGACGGCTGAGTGACTTATGCAACAACAACAACAACAACTACTACTACTACTACTACTACTACTACTACTACTACTACTACTACTACTACTACTACTACTACTACTACTACTACTACCTACTACTACCTACTACTACTTACTACTACTTACTACTACTTACTACTACTTACTACTACTTACTACTACTTACTACTACTTACTACTACTTACTACTACTTACTACTACTTACTACTACTAACTACTACTTACTACTACTTACTACTACTAACTACTACTAACTACTACTAACTACTACTAACTACTACTTACTACTACTTACTACTACTTACTACTACTTACTACTACTTACTACTACTTACTACTACTTACTACTACTTACTACTACTTACTACTACTTACTACTACTTACTACTACTTACTACTACTTACTACTACTTACTAATACTTACTACTACTTACTACTACTTACTAATACTTACTACTACTTACTACTACTTACTACTACTTACTACTACTTACTACTACTTACTACTACTTACTACTACTTACTACTACTTACGACTACTTACTACTACTTACTACTACTTACTACTACTTACTACTACTTACTACTACTTACTACTACTTACTACTACTTACTACTACTTACTACTACTTAATACTACTTACTACTACTTACTACTACTTACTACTACTTACTACTACTTACTACTACTTACTACTACTTACTACTACTTACTACTACTTACTACTACTTACTACTACTACTCCTACTCCTACTCCTACTGCTGCTGCTGCTACTACTACTACTACTACTACTACTACTACTACTAGTACTAGTACTAGTACTAGTACTAGAAACTAGAACTAGTACTAGTCTAGTACTAGTACTAGTACTAGAGTAGATCAGTTAGTTGCTTTGGTACTGGTAATTACTTAGGCTTAGGCTTAGGTTAGTATTTAGTATTTTTTCAACATTCATTTTTTAAATGTTACTATTACACAAAAAAAAACAGGACTTGGCAGACGCTGCCCATGAGAACGAACACCTCGCGAGCACGGTTGGGTCTTCGCAAGCGGTGGCACGATTGGTAGGCGGAAGTGACTGCGTGCATCGGTCACACTAATGTCATTCACTTTTGTTTTACACACCTTTACCATCATGATGACATGAGCCCAGTAGCATCTCATCATAAGAGGTTGATATGATGCAAATATGCATATACAATGCATATACAATATACAAACAGGAACCCAGTAACGGAAACAAAACATATATGATAGATAAATGTTATGTCTGTGTCTGTCAAAACAAATGTGTGAATAGTAACAATTTGTTCATGTTTCCGTGTTTGTTTAGTTTTAATTTCTTTATGCCTGGCCTGGTACTGGTCTTTTGTACCCACTGCCCACGCTTCGACTTTCTCCCAGGTTCCTACCCGCAAACTGTCAGATCGTGAACAAAAGCAACTCTTGTACAGGCGAAAACTGCAGTTTGGGACCGGAGATACAGTACAGCCACTGGTGGCTTCAAGCAAGGCTTCAAAACTTGCTGCGAAAAAAAACAAGGTCTCAAAAGCTTTGAAGGATGTACAGTCGAAAACTGCTGAGGGATCTTTGCAGCAGCTGATGATGCAGCATTTCAGAGACACAACCAACCCGATGTCCTTCTACAGCCTTCCTATGAGTATTGCAAACACTTTGCCCATGAAACAACTGTCGGTGGCCGTGACAAGCATGCTTTCTATCAAAGGGAAACCAGCACAACCAGCTGGAACATTGCCACTTGGGGATGAGATTCATACTCTGCCATTGGAAAATAGAACCGAACAAATTGAAGACGAAAAACCAACCTTTTTGGAACCTCTGCAGGATGATGTGACAGAGGAAATGCCGAAAGAGGGTGGTGAGCGAGAGGAGGAGTTGGACCTCAAACAGTTGGTCGGCTATTGCCAGTTGGATGGGCTGTTGGTGTTCAAACTTGCGGACAAGAGCCCCTACTTGAAGGAACGTCCTTTGCATAGTGTAGACAACTTGACTTTCTCTGACTTTGCAATTCGGCTTTACAAGGTGCACAAGAATGTTGAGGATCGAGAAATTTGGATTTCCCCAACCTCCAATGCAGAGGTTCCTGTGGTGCAGTTCTTCGCAGGCAAGGACCCCAATAGGATCATTGATCAAATGCGTTGCTGGAGGATAGATCAATCTTCTGGTGATGTTGATGCAGATGAAGCGTGTTTCCGGGTGATTCCTGCAGGACGTGCTTTCCAACAAAGGGTGGCATGTCCACTCACCCTTCAGGCCGTGGATATCAAAAGAAACTTGAAACCAACATGTTTTGAGATGTATGTGACTCTTTCCTCACGGGGGTGGACTTGGCGAACATGGCGCGGAAAGCCATCTGATCTCAAGAGGTTGCCGATCAGTTTGGATCCAAACACAGACCGTAAGGTATTCTATGGTGGTAGCTTCTATTACCTCCTGTGTTTGGTAACATTGCCAGCTATTGCAGGGAAGCTCAAGAACAAGACATGCTTGATGAATGGGCAGCTGGAGGTCTACTATGCTACCGCATTTGCTCTTGGACAGAGCTCACGTTTTGCTGAACTGGAACAATTGCAGCCCAATCAACCAGCCCAATTCTACAGGAGTTTAACTGTATTGATTGAGGTGTATTCCTTGAAATATAGTGTATCAAGAACATACAAAATTGTGATAATTTGGATTCATCCTACGTCGTCGTCACGTCGTCGTCGTCGTCGTCCCCCCCTGGTCCCCCCTCTCCTCCTGGACGGGTCCTTGGTCCTCGATCCTTACTCATCGTTCCTCATGCCTGCCTCATTCCTCATTATGACCACTATAACTTAATCAATCAATGATTTTACGACTTTAAGTAAGAAACAACATACGCCGTTGAGGTTTCAACAAAAGTGTAGGTCCCAAAGTTTCAAGGTCAAGGTTCCAAGTTCAAAACACAAACATATCCCCCGACTTCATTAGTTTCAACCCTGAACCTTATTGCTCCATGCACAGGAGCATTGTGGCAACTGAGAGCGATGCTTCCGTCAACCCTGCAGTTGATATGCATCAAGAGGCCGGGATTTGCTGATTGGGATTCATGCAGGTTCGGGTGTGGGAAATAAAAGCAGTCCAGAGTTCAGCTTTAGACTTCAAGACTTCCAGCCCGAACCTTTTGTTCTGAATTGGTTCTCTGAGTCGAATCGGGGTAGTGGCTCCATTCCACAATCCACCAGACATGTTAGCATATCACAAGAAAAACACACCCATGCATGAAAAAAGGAAAAACAACATTTTGGCTCGAGGTTACAGGGTGAGGTGATCGGTTCTTTGTCCATTGACATCATGGACGGCATATCCTATTTTCATTCCCGCCGTCGTGGTCGTCGGATGGATTCTGCTGAAACACTTGTCTTGGGAGAAGACAATGAGATGGAAGGTGTTGATCATGGCTCTGGCCCGAGTCATGATGTGGCAATGCCAGCAGCCAACCCTATGCCAGTACCAGCTGAATCAGCACCATCTACAGTTCCACCAGATGTGGGGGCAGCACCAGCCAGTGAAGTCAGTGATGCCCCACGACGACCAGCTCTTCCTCGCCAACGGAAACAAATGAAGACAATGAGGCAAATGGCAGCCCGGGGTGCCAACAAGATCGGGAAGTGGGCCCGGACGCGCATCCCTGCACCGCACATGCCAAAGGGGACGATTGACTTTTGGATCGATGAATCCATCAACGAGGGAGACAAGGTGAAGACAGACATGACGAATGTGATCCGCAAGTTCAAGCGGGAGCACTTGTCCCCTGTTGAGTTCTTCTCGTGCCTCAATCCTGCTTACTTCTTCAGATTTTTGCTATGTTTTTTTTTAAACGCGTGAAACTGAACTGGACCCAGCAGCTGGAATGGGCCTGGACCGACCACTGATTATTGACAACCACAACCGGAGCCTTTATCTTCCTCACATGACAACCCAAAACCTTATTGGGATATTCAACTGGGTTACATTGAGAATCAAGCCAATGCTTAACTTAGGTTCCTGAAGAAGGGCATGCGCAAGCACGGCTGGCAGTTCATTGATACAAGGGACATGCCAGGCCCCGGGTTTGTTCCCTTGGATGCATCCAAGCGTTTCAGAGATGTTCCAGACTCGGTGTTTTGGAATATTATGTTCAACAGCAGTGACGTTCCGTTTTCTACCCCATCGTAGCCGCGTGATATGGTTGCAACATATCAACCATTGATCTTTAGTTTGGATGGACAGTCAGTAGCTGCTTTCGTAGAACAGCACTGTGCAATCTGTACATTGGGATCACTTAGCATCATCAATTTGTTTGTGCAACTCGAACCAACAGTGCGCATCAGAATCATTGATCCTTGTCGTTTCCATGCATGGAGGGGAAGCTGCATGGAGAAAAAAAGAGTATGTGGGATGGTGTGCAGAAGTGAGAAGGGGTGCATTGACATTTGTTCAGTTTCACCTTTTTTGGGGAAGAAAATTGTGCAATTTTGTTTGGTCTGTCGGAAGTCAGCCGGTCTGCCGGTCCCGCCGTCGGCCCGTCGGCATAACACAACACTGACACTAACATTTGGATACATTTGGTCTCTGGTCATACTGACACTGACACCTGGCAGGTTGGTGGTGAGCATCCCCATGGTGCCGAAGTCCAACAAGCCCTGGAATCTCAAGCGCTCGACTTGGCTGATGTTGACTCTCCCGACCAGGAACTGTCGGCCAAACAATTGGCTCGACTTGTGCAGGACTTCCGTTGTTTTGCTAGGTAAGTATGGCACAGGCTGATGGGACCGGATGGTTTGACATCATAATCAAACCATTTTGAAAACATTGACAAATGATGTTCATTTATCAATCTGTTTGATTATTTTAAAGCAATTATTGTTGATCTGATCTGATTTGATTTTGAAGTGAACTGATAATTTATGGATTGGAATCCCCCGTTCACCATATAGTTTTGCCATTCAGGGGCTTCCATAAATAAACGGTGGTGCTAGGTACTAGGTACTAAGTACTAGGTACGATGCATGAGGTACGGTATACGAGGTACTTACTTACTAAGTATATACTATGTACCCTACTACTTACTTCACCAGAATCACCAAACTTCACTACTAACTATTGACTTTAATGGGAATTTCGAAAAAATATAACAGGCTAGTTTATAAAAGAAAATCCTATATCAAACTGACATGAATGATTTGAGGATTGGGGGGTGATTAGGTATCACATTTTTTGGAAACTCAGTTGCCACAGCGAGTGATCCCACCAATCAGAACCATAAAAACAAATCGTATGGGCCCCACGTGCACTTGAATGATCATGTGATGAATGAATGAATGAATAAATGAATGAATGAATGATTCAATGACTGCCTTGATTCAATGGAGGACATGAGACTAGGAGGTGAGGTGAGAGGTGAGATGTTAATGCAACGCAAGTCAAAGCAAGTCAAATTCAGAATTCAGAACTAAGACTATGTGACTATGTCGGTAATTTAATGATGGTTTCATTCAATTCAATGCATGCAATTCTGTTCTGTTCAGTTCAATTCAATTCAGTTCATTCAGTCCATAGTCCACTGTCTGTTCATTCAATTCATTCATTCTTTTCAAATTCATTCAACTCATTCTTCCAGCAGAGTCGGTACGGTATTCTTGACACTAATGTAGTCTAGTTCTGATTTCTGAGCACGGAGATGCAACGATTGCAGTGATCGTCAAACTCGCAAGGACGAGATCCATGAGATCGAAGTATCAGAGGATGTTTCTTGGATAAATGACTTTGGTGTAGTAGAAGCATTGGATGAGACGGTGACGGTTTATCCATAACTCAATAAATTAATAACTCGACTCGCCGACTCCTAATAACACAAGAACAAACATAACATATCTTACATAGCTGACACAGTCATAGCTTATCATCATTATTTTATCCTATTCTTGGCAGTTGCAATCCTGGCAAAACATCTAAACAGGAAGACTATGACTTTTTTTAACGTCGTCGGTGGTAGGGTATCCTTGGATAATCCAACATGGGAACAGGAACCGAAACCGAAAAGAGATACAGTAAACTGCATCATTTGCAAGTGGCAATCACACAAATAAAGTACACAAACCTGTAGCTGGTGATGCATGAGTACCAGATTACCCACTTTGGATATGTATTTAGTAACTTCGTCATTTCATCATCAGAGCACAAAAATAAAGCATTACCACACATCCAACACTCTCTACAAAGAATTCTAGTTATTAGTTGAACCTTAAACTTGAAATGACATGAAAGTTGTTGGATTGAAATGATGTTTTTCAAGTGAACTATTTTCATTCAAAATTCAAATTCCAATTCAAATCAAAATCAAATTTAAATTCCATTTTCCATGAATTTCCATGCTCCATCCCTTTATATCATATCTAGTGTTGGCTACGCAAGGACTTTCAGACACTTGGTCCGGGGACCAACACGGGACCATGGCAATGTTGTTGCCTGTGGGACAGGGGAGCTGTGACTGTGACAATAAGAATGCTTAGGCTGGAATGCAGTGCTTAAATGCTAGCGCTAGTGATGTACTCAGTACAGTAAATCAGTAAAAACAGTCAGGCCCCAACAATTACATTGATTCAAAAGATCGAGAGTATAGTATATAATTTAGCATATGGGAACACACACAACTTGATGGATTGACGAGACAAAACTAATCATCTGGGACCCGGAGAAATTGTTATGGGTGTTTATAGTTATAAATATATTTGTTATGGGTGTAAGCAGAACCTTCGGAAGTCGGAATGCAGAGGGAAACACAGTCCAGCCGTGCTGCCAACATCCTCTTTGGGAGTTGGGCTTGGTCGTTGTAGAACGACTGATCCAAGCTGTGGATACTCTGATCAATCATGTAGATTTGTAGATCACACTAGAAGATCACTGCGTGTTAGTAGATCATATGATCATTCTATATACTATACTAAGACTATTCTATACTATACTTTACTATACTCTCCTACACTTTATTATACTATACTTTACTATTCAAAGCTCTCTGCTAGGCTTTACTAGTACCATACTGTACTATACTATACTAAGCTCTACACTATATATATATAAATGAATATATATATATAAATGAATATATAAGTTTATGTAGCGACTTATTAAATAAGTAAAACTATATATAACACAATGAATACAAAACTTGGTGAAAACCTGGTGAAAACCTGGTGAAAACCTGGTGAAAACCTGGTGAAATTCAGAAACTCAGTGAACACCCAGAAACCTGATGAAAACCTGGTGAAATTCAGAAACCCAGTGAACAAACAGAAAACCTGGTGAAAACTTGGTGAAAACTTGGTGAAATTCAGAAACTCAGTGAACATCAAGAAACCCTGGTGAAAACCTGGTGAAAACCTGGTGAAAACCTGGTGAAATTCAGAAACTTAGTGAACACCCAGAAACCTGG